AGAGTTGGTGAGGGTTTTCATTGGCAGGATTACACTGCTGACATAATAAAGTGTGCATCATTTGCCATTCTACATTTATTTTAATTCATTGTATGTTTATTTTGCTTTTCAGTTTAAAGATCAAAGTGACTACAGTATGCATAGCCGTATATCATCTGCACCCACATATGGTCTCTATGTCTTTGTGCGAAATTTTGTCTGCAGAATAGGAGAAGATGCTGAACTTTTTATGTCACTATATGATCCTCAGAAACAAACAATTATAAGGTAGGAAATATGTAAATTATATCATCTAGTTCTATATCCTGCCATGTGATTGTGCTTAAGGTCTCGAATCATTAGAGGGATACTCTAATATAAGGAAGTGAAGCCCTGTTTCTCTACCAAGACTATGCTTTTAAATGTTGGCAGAACCAATGGAAGCAGAACATATGTTTTACATCAATTAATATTTCTTCTGCATCTCTCTAGTTGTTACAGTTTTAAACAAAACGAATCCATATATTGAAGGTATTTGGATGGGTTTAAAACTAAGCATGGCGGATGTATACCTATATCCTCTTCCAACATAAAATCAAGATAATTTTTTTTATTCAGTATGGACATCCTTTTTTAAATGATTACTGTAATTCAACTTTGTAACAAACAAAACTATCCCATCTTTCTGAACACAGATGTATTCAAGTGTTGAGTCCTGGGTAACTGGGTAATTTACTGGGTAACTCTTCCACTACAAAAACTGTAAGACACCTGTGGCAAGAGTAGGTCACAGACAGCCCTTCCCTATTCCTGCCAAGCCCTGTCTTTTTCTTTTTCAAAGTCATGATCTTTCCAAAACACAACACTTCAGTTACATATTAAAGATACTGTCAGTGAGTGTAAGGGGAGCAAATTGCTGCAGATATGTCATGCAGTCAACTATAGGTGTTTGGACATACCTGTAGCAGCCTCTCAAATCCTCCTGTAATGTCTACATTGGGCCATTCAGGCCTGTCCCTGCTTACCTATATTAGGTAAGTGTCTAGGTATATACACTATCAGCGGATACCACTTTCTGTAGAAGGGAATTCCATATTTTTACTGCTCACACAGTAAAAAAAAACCTTGCGCGTTCTAAGATTAAACCCCCTCAGTTCTAACCTCTTGTTGTCTCTGTGTGTTCTCAATACTGTTCTCAGTGAAAACAGCTTGTTCCGAATATTGTGGTCCCCATTCATGAGTTTGAAGACTGCAAAAAGGTCCCTCCTAATCGAAGTTTCAGGACCAAACAGGGAACTCAGGAGTTAAATCTTAAACATGCATTTACGTCCCTTCACTAATAACAAAACTGCAGCTTATTTTGTATCACTGGGTTGTAGATCCTCAAATCATCTCTGAATTTGTCCTGACACTGCCCTTCCTTCTGGAGGGTGGCTACCTTTGTTCCTCATGAACCCAGAGTGTGTTATAAAGTAGCCCCCGCTCCAAGCTCACTCCTGTGATGGACTAAATGGACTAAAATCTCAGGTTTAGTTTACTAATTTGTATTGAGATTGTAGTCTATCATGGGAGCGAGCTTGGAGCGTTGGCTACTTTACAACACACACAGGGTCCATGGGGAACAAACGTATCAAACCTCCAGAAGGAAGGACAGTGCCAGTAGGAATTCAGAGATGATTTGAGGATCAATAGCTGAGTGATACACAAAAAAAGCTAAATTTTTGTTAATAGTTAAGGTACTTGAATGCATTTTTAAGACTCAACTCCTGTGTTTACTTTAATTTTAACATTGCTTATTTATTCTATTTAACCTATTTTTCTTTTAGCTTTAAAAAAAAAAATATATATATATATTTAGATCACTCATCTAGAGTCATCGCCTTGCAGTTGCCAAATAAGCTAAAACTTTTTATGTAGGTTTTCCATTCGCAAAAAAAAAATATATAAGACAGGCTAAGTAATAAAATCTCTAAAAACATATGCTTCACTGAGATTGCTTTTTGTTCAGATCATACAAAAAAAGAATGCCTAAACCTTGTGAATACTGCAGGTTTTTGTCAACACTAGATTGAGTATAAAACAAGTCTCCTTTTATAACGTCTTGCCTTTTTTGAACAGTTTGTGAATCTTAATGATTTTTGTTGAACAAATGTTTATTGGGAACTTCATATCAGTCATGTCATACCATATCATATTATGATTTCAACAGTGAGAATTATTTGGTGAGATGGGGAAGTAAAGGTTTTCCAAAAGAAATAGACATGTTGAACAATTTGAAAGTTGTTTTTACGGTAAGTTTTCACCTATTATAAAAAGTAGGACAACAATTCTATCTAACAATGATTCATTCTTTGCTCCTTGTATTTATGCCCTTTACCTAAATAAAAAATAGGTCTATAAATGTTATGCACATTTAGTATTCACACAAGACACAAGCAGTTAAACAACAGGTTCATGTGTTAAATTGACTTGTTGCAGAATGTAGTTAGTTTCCATTTATAAACAGGCAGAATAATATATATAAAATAGGCCGAGTAGGCCCATTTCTTATTAAATAACATATTAAACATAATTTTATATATAAAACTATTCTTGGTTATATGTAAGCAAGACTTAGAAAAGTTGCACATATTTTTTTATTTGCAACTAGTAAAATACACATCCACTGTTTAAATAAAATATGTTTTTAAAAATTAGCTTGTAATGACATTTGACATGAATTGGGAATAAGTTAGAGAACATTTGTATTCCATGTGTAATTAGACATATAAAATTAGTTAAAGTGTACACTTGCTTTGTAGGTGCAGTTCCACATTTTGTTTTGTAGGTGCAATCACAGTTAGATCTTCTTCACAGTCAGAGCTATAGTGATAGTTGTGTGTGCAGGTGCTTGAGGAGAATGTTCTTACAGCATGAGATGATTAGCCAGGGCCTGTTCCACAGGTATCAGAAAGTATTTATTTTCTCCATGGACAGATGTGTCATCTTTTTCATCCTGTTAATATGCATTTCTTCATCACAATCCAAAATTCCAGTTGTAGAAGTTATATAAATGATGCTAACTGCCATACATTGCACTAAACAGTAATATTCAATGCAAAAGTTTGGTTGCATAGAGAGATTTCAAAAGACTATAAAATGCCCTGAAAGCCTTGGGATATGGAGAGCTCATTGAATAGGTCCAAGCAGACTTTCTCTGAGCATTAGCAATTTCTGACACTAGTTCCAGGTGACATCTCTCTGGGAGTTAAAGGCAAGTTCATAAACTATGCATAGCTGTGGTTAACAGAAGAGCAGCAGTAATAAGTTCTCTGCTCTCTTGGCAGCAAAAAAATGGTGATAGGGGTAGCTTTTATGTTTATCTGATAAATAAATAAATAAATAATTTGTGACCATATCAAGATTTTTTTTTAAGCTATAACCAAAATAAATGTATTGAGTTTTCTAAAGTTTGATGTCATGGTGCTGGTGTGGTGTTGATGCTCTGGCATGTATAGCATGTGTGTATGTATTTATTTTTATTTCTATGTAGGATCTTGGAAACAAGGATCTTAATAGAGATCGGATTTACTTAGTATGCCAGATAGTAAGGATTGGAAGGATGGACCTTAAAGAAACTAACATAAAAAAATGTACACAAGGATTACGGCGCCCCTTTGGTGTAGCAGGTATGTTAAAAAAAATGATTCATATATTATTTTATTTTATTTTAAAGTAAACAAAGGTGTTAGACCTGCCCATGCTGCACCACCATTTACTCTTACGCATTGTACACATTCATGCCTGCAATCGTAAGTATGCATGGTCTGTGGACTAATTTTCCTTTAAGGATGAGAATATCTTTTCTTATGGTGCTCCACACATTTGGATCGTTTGGTTGAATCCACTGCTCAAAGAAACTGGATGAATGCATTTCCATGGTTGTAGACAAGTTCAACCACATGCTGTATTTTACTCCAGTGGTAGGAAATATCCAGCAGAGTTCCCTGATCTATAAAACTGCTATATATTACAAAATCAGATGGTGAAAACCTATCAATACCTTGTATACCATATACACAAGCAAGAGTTTATGTTATGGATCAGTAGTTACAGGAAAATCAATCAGCAACGTTTTGGGCATTCTTCTGTTTGACAAAGGGCAGGGTTGTACAGAGCCCCCTTAGAAAAGTTACTTCCTGCCAGTATGATTGGCTTACTGATGTTAATCAGAGTTTTATCTTAGTTCAACACTGGGAATGATCATGTGATTATTGTGATTATAGTAGGGAGGCCCTCTAGCACACAGAGCATAAAAAGTAGCTGGGGTAAGTATGAAGTAAATGGAATTTGTTTGTAAATTGCAATGCAAACAGCAGCAAATTGGACCGTGCAAATTAAGTTTGCTAAAATCCATGCATTGTATGTATTTGACAAGTGAAGGATTATTATTTCTTAGCAGATTTACACCTTAGGAATATTTTAAAAACAATGAATGTGACCTTCACCAAACACTGACTGCAGATTAATCAATCTCTGTAATTTAAAACACATGTACCAGGAAGATTCACTGCTGTAATCTGGTTGAATTATGATGCTGTTGTTATTGGAATATTTCCAGCCTGCTTTAATCCCAGGGCTAGCCTATAAAATGAATGCTTCCATGTATGTCCAAGACCAGAACAGCCACTGCAAATCTGAGTAGATCTGTGTGATCTTAGCAGAAGGTATACTTACTGAGATTCAGTTATAGTAATCTGTATAGTCTGGAATAGTGATCTATATAGTATGGTATAATGTTAAAACTGAAGGTTTTAAAGTTATACACTTCTATAGAGAGGCTTTTGAGGATCAGACTTAAAATTGCTGTTTGTTATTGAATTACATTTTTTCATAATTCAACACCTATATCTGTAAAAAATAAGTCAAGGCAACTGAACTTGCTGTATTTTTTTCTTGAAGACGTTTCACTGGTCACCCAATCAGCTTTCTCAATTCAGAATGACTTGTACAAAAATTCTCTGGGAATAAATATGGTGAATGTTGCTCCAATCCACACAATCTGTTAGTCACAACCAGGTGTTGATTGCATTTGCATAATTGGAGTCTAGGAGGTGTTATTAACCTGCCTGAGAGGTGCTGAAACAGCATTGTATGTGTAAAATGAAAATGCAATCAACACCTGGTTGTGACTAACAGATTATGAGGATTGGAGGAACATTCACCATATTTATTCCCAGATGATTTTTTGTCCAAGTCATTCTGAATTGAGAAAGCTGGTTGGATGACCAGTGAAACGTCTTCAAGAAAAATACAGCAAGTCCAGTTGCCTTGACTTATTTTGTACAGATATACCATGACCTGGATGAATGAGTACCTCCACACACAAATTCAACACCTAGTACTACAAAAAAATGTCTGCTTTTTACAATTTGCATAGGAGAAAATTATGTATTTTAAACTGTCTCCTTTCACATGGCTGGATTTTTGTCAGTATTTTAACAATGTCAGTTATTGACATGGAAATATTTTACTTTCTCAGTAATGGACATCACTGATATGATTAAAGGTAAAGCAGAAAGTGATGAAGAAAAGCAACATTTTATACCATTCCTTCCGTAAGTATTAAAACTAACCCATTTACACATACTGAATGAAATTTGTTTAGGAATTTGGTATTTGTTCATAAAACTTTGCTAAGGGTTTTCTTTTAATCTATTAAACTGCTAACTGCATCAAATAACTTTCAAACATTTATCAGTGTAAAACTCTGTGCTATTCCTATAAAGTCTAAGTTTACGTTTTATACCACGTTTCATGTTACATCCATATTCAGGGTATAACATGAAACATGGTGACATCAGCTCCCCCACACCATCCCACCACTTATCTGAATCACAGGGTTCTTCTCCCCGCAAGCTGCTGCTGTTATTTGAAATTGACATGGCTGTGCATGGCTCCCCCTACACAGTTGTGTCATCAATTCACAGATCATTTGACAGGGCCTGTGAATGGAGAAATTACAATTACCTGTACTTCAGTACAAACAGGGATGGAAGGGACAATCTAAAGGAACCAGAGCACGGTTGCAAAGCTTTACTGGCTCCAATGCAAAATGTAATACATGCAATTTTTTTCTTTGAGGTATGCGTGAATTTTTTTTTAAAAGTGGAATTTACCTTTAAACTAATCCCTAGCAGTTGTGCCAATATCAATAAAGATATATGAATTGGTACGCTAAAGATGCCCAGCGCTTCACCCTGTATAGAGATTGTGTCAATCCCCAGTGCTTCAATATGCTCTGCCAATAAAAAAAATTATAATTTGCATAAAACAACATAAAACAATATAATAGTTAAAAATAAACAATCTTAAAAACACCTTGTAAATATCTCCTTGTGGAAATACAAAATTTGTGTACAACACCCTCTGTGAATGTCTGACAAAGTCCACTCGAGTAAAACACAGTTCAAAATACACCCAGTGCTGCAATCCTCTGAAACTTGATCTGTAAATCCTTCAAGTTCATCCTTGTGTGCTCTTTAGGAAACTCAATCACCAAATATCACTGACCCCTTACTGCTAAAGTAGGTCAAAGTTTGTTTGTGTATGTTGTGATTGCTGATGTCCCCTCTAGGTATACTCCATGCCCAAAACGTTACTTCAAATGTTTTTAAGCCCATGCATGAAAAAAGGGGAAGATTGTATAGTATAGAAACCTTCCAACAACATTCAAACAAAAAAGAACTAAATATAACAAAATACATGAAAACATACATTTGCAATAGATATAGTGTTAGGTTTTGCAATGAACAATAAACATTTTATATTCTGTGTATAACTAAATGTGTCTGATAATTGCAAGGCATTGTTAATTTGTGTGTCCTAAACTTGTGGATTTATGTCATATGACTATGCTTTTATTTCAGTCCGGTTGATATAAATTAGTGGTTAAACTACTAATACTACTACTAATACCACTACTCTTTAAATTTACAGCTACACCAGGGTTCTGAGACTAAATGGTGATCCACTTGTGACCCCTGTTTCTGCTGATATTTGTCACATTGATGTTGTATTTGTGGAAGCTTTCTGTTACCCTTCTATTTATTGGGTAAATGGAAGCCTTCTCATACACCAGAAGAACATAGGGACTATCTTTGTACATACTATACTGCAAACTTCCAGGTGTGTCAGACACCTATGTATCCCTGATATGGAACCTTTCCCCCTGGCCACTATATCGTCAGTGTGTCCCATCAGAGCTCTAGGGTACACATTATCGTCATAGCACCGGAGGAAGAGCCACAGCAGGAAGATGCAAGAATTTAATACATACACTGTATAGCAGTGATAGATGCAGGAGATTGCAATAGAGGCTGTAGCTCTGCAAGAAAGTGAAAATCCATAGAAAGAGAGTAAATATTGGTATTATACCTGTAAACTTTCGTTTGCCAATAAATAGTTCTGATTTCTTGGTTAAAAATACATATCTGATTCCAAATATTATTATTATCATTATTATTCTTATTTTATCTTTGCATTATTCCAGTGTTGTTGCTGAGAATGATTTTCTGCACAATCTTCTGGGCAAAGTCACATCTCTAAAAGGAGATAGTGGGGGTCAAGGTAAATCAATTCCCTATTACTGAAGAATGTAATTGCAAATATATTTTAGTGTTAAAAGCATAGTATTGCTGAAGTAATTTATTTTCATACTTAATTATTTTAAATTCCATACTTAATCGCCTTCTCTTAAGCAGTTGTACTAAATTATCAGTAGTAATCAAAGAATAGTGACTCAAATGCACAGAGCTTTAAGACAAAAACTACAAATAAAGAGAAGTTATACCATATATCCATCCAATCAACATAAATAAATACACATTGAAATCATATAACTGTGTCAATATTGTAGTTAAAATGTCCCATGTGGTTATTAAAATACTGTGATAACATTCCATCCACAAATAAGGATCTTCCTTCAGTGATCCAAATAAAGTTTGTTTAGTCATGCTCAAAACACAAGTGCCCACATTTGTGTGATAAACATGAAATATATTCCCCCTTAAGAATACACATTCATCAAATGGAGTTGACCAACTTAAATGATCAGTATGGTCAAATGTGCTTTGTTATGAAGTAATCCACTGTCCCACAACCTTTCCCCCTCCTTTCTTCATGTTTTTTCTCAGGAGTTTCTAGTTCGAAAGGCAAATACAAAGACATTTGTAGTGTAAAACTGTTAGCCATTTTTTTTGTAAGTAAAAACCCTTAAACCTCTCACATGTACAGTATACAGTATGTGATCTAATGCTAGTGTACACTCACCTCCACTCTGTTTGTCTCTAGTTCAGCCGTGTACCACAGCCTACTGCCTCGTCTGCATAACAATGTCAGCAAATAAGGATCACTGATGGAGGATCCTTATTTGTTGATGGACAATTATTACAGTATTTGAATAACCACATGGGACTTTTGGGACGCCTATTTTATGCATGATATTGACACAGTTATATCATTTCAATGTGTAATCAATTATGTTGATTGGATGAATATATGGCATATCTTCTCTTTTTTGTTTTATTTTTAAAGCATAGTGCATTTGATCATTTCACTAAGTTATTTTAATGCCTTAAAAATATTTTAGTCCCCGTTCACACCAGGGTGACAGTGTTTCAGCGCTTTTTTCGCTCATTTCTGTTCATATGTAAGAGATGTTCTGAGTAGATCTGATTCAGATAGAGTAGATCTGACTCAGATGGGTTAATTTACTAACCTTATAAACACACCACGCACATGTATACACCTCTGTAGTGTGTTCCCTCCCAGCATGATCTATGGGTGGAATCTAAACACCTTTGTAGTGTGTACACACCCAGCAGGTGTGCTGTGCAAAGCCCTGCCCTGAATTGCAAGGTGATGTTGTGTAAATTAGCTCTACATTGTGTTGCTTGCGTTGATGAATGCAGGAATGTAAATGCATGAGCTAACCAGTTTTGTCTAAACTGTGAAGCATCATTATATATGCATCATGTGCATGATTTTTCCATATATGGCATTAGTGGAAATATGCTTATAGAGACTTTTTGGTTGATAAATATGCTTTGCTGTGTAAAAATCACACGCACCTGGTGCGTGCGTGTGTTTAGGTTAGTAAATCACCTCCACATACTCAGATGTTCATATTTTAAGGCTATTTTTCAGCTTGTTTTCAGTTGTCCAATGAAAAGCAGTCTCAGCTGCAAAAACGCGCAAAAAAGCAGAAAAACGCACTGACTGGCGCATTTCCATTGAAGTCTATGGAGCAAAACGTGCTGATAAGTGCCACAAAAGAAGCTCATGGACTATTTTAAACAACGGGAGTATTGCGATTCAGCGCGTTTGCGTGAACGCCCCCCCATAGGAATACATAGGATTTTGATTTGCATGCGTTTCAGCGTGGTAAAAAACGCGCAAACAAAACGCTATGGTGTGAACGGGGCATTACAGTGCAAGCTTTTGGAGGTCTATTTTTAGGCATATTTATAAATCAAACTATTTACCTTATGAAAGTTCTCAATAACTGTTATCTATTGTTATAATACCAGAGTGTTAATATGATGGGTTGCCTTTAAGTCTATTAAATTATTTAATGAAGTTTAATAAATTAACAACCAAAGCACTAATTGATACATAAGTGGTTAATACACTTCAGTACTGGAGCACTGTAGAGCAGCTTTTCTCAGCCTGTTTTTTAGACATGGCACCCCAGTCTAAAATGTAAATAACATAAATGTAAAAATTTTTCAAATTCCATACCAGACCCTTATCCAGGAGTCCCCCTTCGTATTAGGAGCCATCTTCACATCAGAGCCATTCACACTTTACATCAGGAGCCCCCCTTTATATCAGAAGCCCCTCTTTAAATTAAGAGTCCCCTTCACATCAGAAGCCCCCTTCACATGAAAGCCTGTCTCTTTCACATCAGAGTCCCCATCTTTTACATCAGAAGCCCCCCTTTACATAAAAAGCCCTCTTCACATCAGAACCCCCCCTTCACATCAGAAGCCCTCCTCACATCAGAAGCCCCCCTTTCACATCAAAAGCCCACTTCACATCAGAGCCCCCTTTTATATCAGACCCCCTTCACATCAAAGTTCTCAGTTCCCCTTTCACATCCGAGTCCTACCACCACATCAGTAGCCCCAGGTGTGGCAGCATGGCAGAGGATGGGATGCAGACTAGGCCTGTTCCTTTATCTGAGTGGATCCCTCCCTAGATCAGTGTTTATTTTCATGAAAAAGCATGATGCTGTGCAAAAATTTCAAGCTACCCCTGAGGATACCAAAAGGCACCATGTTGGGAAAATGCTGCTTTAAAGATATTTGTAAGTTAAGAGATACTTAACTTTCTTGCATTTCAGTTTTCAGCATATTTACAGTTTAACTAAAGAAGTACAATATATTTTAAAGGACAATGAGAAGGGCTTATAGCACAGCTGTCCTTTAAATATACACCTCACCCTGAGTTTCAGAATTTTGGGTAAATAATTACCTTCAGCCCTGCTGCTGTGTTCCTCCCTGTGAGGCTCTGCACAGCCTTTGCAAAAAATGTCTTGGCAGTGACCAGCTCATACTACACATTCCTGGTGCTTGACCAATTCATTTCTATGGCTGGTCCATACTCACGGCAGTCTCCAGCCACCCAGAAGAGAACAGCTCCAGCTATAGGAATAAATAGGCCAAGCTGAGTGCAGGTTTAACAAGAGCTGGATATGCCAGGACTATTTTTCTAAAAAGGTTGTACAGTGCAGGGCAGGTACAGTAATGAACTTTGGAACAGAATGTAAGTTAAGCATTCATGAAGTTCGCTACTATATTTAAGAAATCCCACTACCTCCCACGTTCTGCATTTTGCTATGAAGGCCACCATAACATTCAAGGTTCAATGGTAAGGTGAGGGGGGTCGAGTCTTCCTTTCTAGTCAGTGCATATTGAAATGGTATGATTTGGCATCCTTCTAGAGTTTTCGAAAGCTAATGTAAGAGATTTGGGGAAGATCACACTGATAAGTTCTTATGCTACCTAATCTGTAATACAGAAACGACATAGTTGCAGTACCATGTATATATATAATAATAATGGTGGTATGGTGATCAGTAAGCTAATTGAATTTTTTTTGTTTAGCCTAAAGGCTAAATGAAAAAATCGAATAGACTCTACATGAGGTTGGATTAATTTCCCGCTGCAGCTATTGTATTCCAAGAGCGGCACCTGCTACTGTCGTAATACTCGAACAGTGACTGCAATTGATTGGCTGAAATCACGATTTGTCTAAATATTTTCGGACTGGTTAGTTCAAGAAGAGTTCATTAAGTAAACGACTTTTGTCAAGCTGGCAGGGTCACATTCTATACAAATTCCATTGGTTTCTGTCAATCGGTTGAAATTCTAACAGTGTATGGCCAATGTTAGGCTAAAACTTTGGTGAAGGCATTTCCACATGCATTATCCAATGCACACTGTTTAGCACCAACATAGTAGCACTGCATGAAGAGATTGGGGGTCTTGTTGACAAGAATGGTAAGCAGATAATGCCTCATACTGCCACATAATTAGGGATAATAATAACAATGATTATTTTGCAGGACTTTGGGTGACAGTGAAAATGCTGGTTGGTGATTCCGTACAAATCCGCAAGAATTACCCTCATCTTGTTGACAGAACTACAGTGGTTGCAAGAAAGCTGGGATTTCCTGAGATAATTATGCCGGGTAGGTTGTTAAAGTTATCATATAAAACATCTGAGTATTTAATAAAGTGACAGCAGGCTTAAAGCAAAATGTTTACAGTAAACATTGTCAGTTATCACTAAAGTTTAAAGGAGAACTATGAGGCGAGTTCGCCCGCTTCAGCTGTCACTTCGGCTCAGATGAGCCAAAGCATATGCCTTCGGCGGCTGTAGGGGCTATAGTGAATAGCACGTACAGCAGCCCTTCGGTTTGACTGAAACGAAGGGCTCCGGCGGCCGAAGAGAGCCAAAGGATTAGCCGAAGCTACGGCTCTTATGTGAATAACCCCCTTAATAATGAATGCAGAACTGCATTACTATGTGCTTTTATATCTGCCTAGTGTTCATCTTTAACACATAAAAATGTGCAATACTGCGGTGCGATGCATTTTGCTGCAATTTTACTGCGATTGATGCTTTTTTGTTGTTGTTTTTCCGGGGTTTTTTTTTCAGATGCAAGAATGGGATTTCAGGTGCTTTCCAGTGTGTTCCGATGCATTTTGATGTGTTCCGTCGCAATCCGATGCAATTAAAGGGAACAGACTGCATCTGGTGTGAACTAGCCCTAAATAACACAATGAAATTACATATTTATATATAATGTTGCAAAGTCTAATACATGTGAAATAGATTATTGGTTTTTGAAATTGCTTTTTAGTAGCTTTCACATTTGCAGGTGTTTTTTCTTCTCAAATTCTTAGAAGTAAAAATTTTCTTGAAGTTGTGATTCAATTCCCTTTTTGTGCATGGCTTCTATTTAGTAGTGCTTTTAATAAACAGCAGTAACATTAGTTATTACATATTAGACATATTATACTTGCAGTTTCAGCTATTTAAAAGAGCACACAGAACACAGAACGTTGGCTTATGAAATTGTGATTGTATATGGTGAATTTTTTGTCTACAGTAGGAGAGTATCTTTGCCATTTTTAGTGAAGAGAAGTGCATTGGTGCTGATGGTTGGGAAGACACATGTCTACTAAGGCATGCATGTAAGCTTAGTTGAAAAGCTTTGAAACTCAGGTGTGTTTGACCTACTGACCATGGAAAATTGTAGCTTCTTCTCATTCAGGCTGTGACCTTTGTAATACCTTAAAATGGACACATTGGCTGCCTGTAATTACATTGGTGCTGTGTGGTGTCATGTCCTAATAATTTTCATGTTTCCTTGCCAATACATAAACAAATTAGAAAAGACAAGATTGCTTGTAATAAAGTTTTTTAATTCCGTGTGGTACCAGAACTACATCTATGTTTAGCATTTATTTTAATCAAGAACTAGGAAATTAAACATAACCAATGGTAATAAATTGGCTTAAAGTGAGAGAGAAAAGTACTAAAAAGTAAAAAAAACACTTAAAACATAAGGTATTATAATGTCATTTATTTTACCTCCAGTGAAAACAAATTCCTTTTCTTCATTTAAGGATACAGAGTGGAACCATGCCAGTAATTAAGCTATGCTCCAAAGGCCAACTCTCCATACAGGATTACTGGTTTAAAGCAAACACAGAGTATACAAATTATTGAGCCACCGTGAGCATATCTGTTTCAGAATGTTATCCTTTATCAGTGCAAGATATAAAAACGTTGCCATCTCCCTAGAAGAGGAGTAGTCCATGCTCCTGCCATTTCCCTGCCAGGGACATAGACCAAATTACAATATCCTTAAAATATTGTAGGATCATTCACTATTAGGGCTGTGGGAGGGAAATATATACATATATATATAATACTATACATTCCTTATAAAAGGTATCTTGTTTAAAGCTTTGTCAAAATAAATGATTGTGTATTTTTTCATATGTTCCGGTATTATTTCATATTTCTTTCATACAGGTGATGTAAGGAATGATATTTACATTACTTTGATGAGTGGAGATTTTGATAGAGCCACCCAGAGGAATGTGGAGGTGATCATGTGTGTCTGCGATGAAGACGGGAAAATAATACCTGTAAATATTATTTTTTGTATTATTAAGACAAACATTTTAAACTTATTTAAGGGTATTAGTGGATTACAGTATTTCATGCACAAGAACATAGTACAAGAAATTATATGTATCAGAATCCGAAAGTCCATACAATTTTAAACTGCTGTATTTGCCTCCTGTGATAAGATTGCAGTTGTGATTAGATAGGAAGTATAAAGTGGAAAAACATTTTTGATGTTGTATGTACCCCATATGAGAAATCTGAATCAGAAGGTAGACAAATATGGATATTTGAAACCTGGCCAAAATGTTTACTTATGCTTCCTTACAACTTGAAGAATTATGTTATTAGTACAGTTTAGTGCATGGTTTACACATAGGTGTTTATTTCCAATTGCATTCAGTTGTGTGAGTACTGTGTGAAAGTTGTGTGAAAAAAATAGACCTTTCTCTTCCGTTCATTGAAGGACACAGTGATCAAGATCGAAGATCTGGTACCACAGGGTATTGTGTCACCTGTAGGAGAAGGACGCTAGGCACAAACAGAGCCTAGGAGCAGCCGCTGCTGGTGGCCAACCTCCCACCTGCTGATCTTGTCTCCAGTTTTTTGCCTAATGTCAGGAGTAAGGAGGAGACATTTTCACTATTTTTTTCTGCGTTTTTGCCTGGATCTTCAAACAAATGCTGTCTGGGTGACACGCTGGATGTTTGTGGACCATTGTAGCCCTACCCTGTATGGCCATCGAGCGCATGCTCCCGGTGATTGCTCCTGTACCACCCTCAGAAAGGTTCAGGGGGTTCTATTGACTTCTCTCCATGGTTCCCATGAAAGAAGGCATTTGGCCCATATTGGATCTCAAGCACCTTAACACCTTAGTGTGGATTATCTTGCTTCTGTAGACATCAAGCATGAGTATCTACATGTCCTGATCTGCCGCTCTCACCAGCACTATCTACAATTCGTGGTGGGGGAGGAGTTGATGTTCTGGCATCTGCCAGTTTCGGGCACAAGGTTTTGCAGGCAGCCCTTTAGATATTTTGTTTTAACCATCCCTCAGTAGTACTGCTTTGTGGCATCCCTGTGGTTCCAGGTCTTCGATCTTGGTCACTGTGTCCTTGCATGAACGGAAGAGAAAATTGGATTTTTGTATTCACTGTAATATACTTTTATGTGTGTTCATTAAAGGACACAGCACCCACCCTCTTCATGTGTGGGAGTGTACTCCTTACTGCTTGTTACTTACTGTAGACTAGATCAGAAGGTGGGGGGTTGGCCACCAGCAGAGGCCACCCCTAGGCTTGTCCCTAGCGTCCTTCTCCTGCAGGAGGCGCAATACTCTGTGGTTCCAGATCTTAGATCTTGGTCAATGTGTCCTTCAATGAACACAGAGAAAAGGATTTTATGGTGAGTAGAAAAATCTTACTTTTAGTGTCATGTGTAATGTTCGTAATAAGAGTTCTCCATAGGTGCTTTGTAAACTCTCAGATTTATCTTGATTACATATTTTACTAAGCAGCAATGAACTGTTCATTTTTCTTCTGTTTAATTTTCTTTTGATCAGAATGCAATCTGCACGGGAGCAGGTGACAAGCCAGTCAGTGAATATAGGTCTGTGCTTTACTATCAGATCAAACAACCACGCTGGATGGAAACCATAAAGGTATGTGAAGGGGCAAGCAAAACACAGACAAAAATGTTCCTGTCCCCTCTAAGTAAACCAAGGACAGATTACAACTATGTGGTGGTTACACAGCAATTCTGCGCACTTTCCTATGTGAATGTTTTAGAAATACAATAAAAAGATTCCAATCAGTTGGCCAGCTATAAATGGGAAAGATTAACATGTGGAGAAACCTTTAAATATTTATTGACATTAATTAATTTAAAACACTGCAGAAATAATAAATACTCTGTCAAAGTAAAACAACATCAGGACTTACAGTATTTGGTGCTGTGATTTTTAGCAGAATTCAACATTTCATTTATTTTTATGCAATCCCTGTTAAATATCTCTCAAATTGTGTATGCATACCTGCAAAACTTTCTTCCCTGTACCTGCATCAAAATTTCAGAAACCTCATCTGTTAATTCTGCTCTGAGCTGTAAAGGAGGTGCCTACCTTAGAGGAAAGTGATGACATATTTGCTTAACGGAAGTAAACTCAAGCTACTTTTTTTTGCCATCAACTATATAGGGCTTATTTGCACGGCTGTTCAGGGCTTTACACTGCCAGAGGATCATATTTCTGCAGTGGGTGCAGCCCAATTTCTCCAATAAGCTGCAGTCAGGATGCTTTTAGGGATGGGCTCGATGTTCGAGTCGAGCAAGAGTTCGACTCGGACATCGGCAGTTTGTGTGTTTGGCGAACTGCACAGTGCCTTGTGAAGCCCTGATTGGCTAAAGTCTGGCAAGACTTTGCCCAATCATGGCACAGTGCTCTGTAAGCCATGATTGGGCAAAGTAGTGATGACTTTGCCCAATTATGGCTCATCTGACAGGTGACATATAAATGTACAAATATTTTGCTGGCATCTGTCAGAATGCCATTCTGCAGCGGCAGTTCATCGTGAGCAGATGGGTCAGCGTGCGTCTTTTAAAAAATTATTATTTCTATTTATTTTTTCTTGTTTTATTTTTTACTACATTGAGTCGTCGTCATCGTGGACAACGCTGGACGTCGTGATTGACCCCAAAATTACGTTGGTGGATCCATTCTTTGGGTGAGGGTGTTACATAAAAGACTTGTCAAAAACATGTCTTTTTTTTTTCAATTAAAAGATTTTTTCAAAAGTCTGGCCTCTTTTTTAAAACTTTAATTTAACCCTTTAGTGAATGAGTAGGGGTCCCTAGTACCCCTTACTCATACACATGGGGGGGTGCATCTGGGTGCCCCTTTATAAACCACCTCCCGGTTGGCCGTTGTAGAAAAAGGCTGGCCGGGAGCTTCCTGGACCTGAGCGGGTGTTTTTAAACGTCCTGTCAGCCATGCCCACTCGTGCCTGTGAGCGGTAAAGTGCCAAAATTCCAAAATAGGCAGCAATGCCTGTTTACATACAAGTAATAGTCGGTGGATCGCTTGTATAACATGCCGGTATGTGCGCCCCCCCCTCTGCGCCCCTCCCGCTGGTCCCGGCCTCCGCTGTGCTCGGTGCGAGCCCGGGACCAGCATGGTGGCTCTGTGACAGGAGATCAGAGGGAGATCGGTACACGTACTCCCTCCGGTCCCCTCTCTGGTGTCAGAATGTGGAAGTGATGTATTTCTTGTGTCACTCTCCAGCTTCAGAAGATCTCTGCTTCATCAGCTTCTTTGGAGGTCCCTAGGTGACATTAGGGGTCTTGGAGACCCCTGATGTCTCCATAAAGAGGACCTGTCACATCCTCTTTGCTATCACATAGGGGGATTTCTTAGCCCGCTATGTGATAACAATAAAGTTAAGTGAAAAAAATAGGAAAAAAAACATTTTAAGTCACACATGAAAGAATTAAAAAAAACACAATTTTAAGAAAAAAGTCCTCACCCATACGTACACACGCATGCAAACATGCATCGGGTGCGCATATGTGCAAAACAAACGATTGCACCTATTACGCCGCACATGTTAAATATCGCTGCGAATGTTGCAATGAAAGCAATAATTCTAGGACCATTAATCACTGATAACACTAAACTGATGAGCGGTAAAAGCTTTTAAAGCGTCGCCTATGGTCAATTTTGGGTATGGTAGTTTTTTGCGATTTCGCGGGTGCTCGCAATTTTAAAGCTTGAGATGTTTGGTGTCTATTTACCCGACGTGACCCCGTCTTTTATATTTTACAAAAAAACTGGGTAATAATTGTATTATAACATAATGTAATATTTTTTTCAGTAATTTTTCCTTAATATAGTAAAAAATAAAAACCCCAGTGGTGATTAAATACCACCAAAAGAAAGCTCTATCTGGCCGCAAAAAAGGGTATAAAATTCATTTCAGTACAGCGTTGCATGACGGAATAAATGTCAGTCAAAGTACCGCAGTACTGAATACTGAAAAATACACCGACCCATGCTGAGGAGGAGGAGGAGAGAGACAATGACCCAATGACCGACACTGGGGGAAAGAGGAGAGAGACACCGACCGACGCTGGGGGGGGGGGTGGTTA